CCTCTTATGTGCAGGGGTTGAGGGTAGCCTCCTTGAATGTGAATGGGTGCAGGGATGCAAATAAGAAGTAATCAAGCAGAAGAGACTAGATATAGTCTTCAAGAAACACATACTGACAGTACAAATGAAGTAGACGGGTCTGTGGTGGGGTAGCAGTTTTTTAGCCATGGGACAAATTTTAGCACAGGTGTTGCTATTTTATTTTCTCCTTCTCTAAATGCAAATATTACTTTCAGCATGGAGTAAAGCGCGGAGCTGAAATAGAAGTTTTTATTTTTACTTTGATTAATGTCTATGCACCAAACTTAGGGTCTGAGCGTAAGGTTTTGTTTTTAAACATTAAAAGAGAAATTAAGAGGTGCTGATCAAGGGGACTGTGTTGTATTGGGTGGGGACTGGAATTGTTGTCTTGATTTTACTTTGGATGGGACTGGGGAGGAGCCGCATCTTCAGTCGTCTTCTGCTTTATCAGATGTTCTACAAAAAATTAACTTGGTTGATGCGTTGAGGATGAAGCATCTTTCAACCACGGGTTGAAGTATGGGTGAAAGTAACTGATGGCAGAGTTAGTGTAGTGAAATTGGCCAGGTTTTATGTGTCTTCTTTGTTTACTGCTCGAATTGTTAACTGTCACTGTTTTCCTGTTATTTTTACAGATCGTCACTTAGTTTTAATGGAGCTGTTTCTATCTCCCACCAACAAATCCAAATCCTTTTGGCGATTTAATGTAAAATTATTTCATGATTGGATTTTCTGTGAAAATTTCAGTTTTTGGGAGGGATTACTGGAGATCAAGGAGGGAAGATTTTAATTCCCTTACTCAATAGTGGGAAGTAGGAAAGGCCCAGATTTGTGTGTTTTGCAGCAGCAATATGGTTTTAATTTGACAGCCAATATCAAGAGAGCTCTGCAGGAGTTAAAGAAGTGATAAAACATAAAAAGAATGTCTCTGGTTCACAGTTAGATCAGCAGAATAATGACTGTTGTAATGTAATGACTGTTTAAATTCTAAAAGACAAGAGCTTGATCATTTTCAATATGAGAGAGCTAAAGGAGCTTTGGTTCGAGCATGCTTCACCAGACTCCAGGACATGGACGCCTCAACCTTTTCTTTAATTTGGGGAAGTCTGTAGCCCAGAGAAAACAAATGGTGTGTCTTCGTCTTTCAAATGAAAATGTGATCACAGATCCAGCTGAGATGAGAAGGCATGCGGTGGACTTTTACACAGACTTGTTCAGGGCAGATAGCAGCGATGTAGACTCTGCTTCAGAACTTTTGCAGGGGCTTCCTCAACTCGGTCCAGAGGATCGGGACATCTTAAACATGGATATAACTTTGAATGAGCCGTCTGCTGCTGTATCTCAGATGGCTTCAGGCAAAGCTCCAGGAATAGATGGTTTCCCGTCAGACTTTTTTAAGCACTTCTGGAGTCTTCTGGGTCTGGACCTTCTAGAAGTGTTTAAGGAATGTTTTAAAGAAGGGAAACTTCCAGCTTCCTGTAGGCATGCAGTTATTTCTCTCATACCAAAGAAGGGAGATTGAACCCTTCTTAAAAACTGGAGACGAGTGGCCCTGGTACAGATTATAAGATACTTTCCAAGGTCCTATCAGATAGACTGAAAATGGTCATTTAACTGTTGACTGGTGTGGATCAATCTTATTGTATTCCAGATAGGTCTATGATAGATAATTTATTTTTAATGAGAGATGTATTTGACATATGTAAACTATGCTATACTAGAGTTGGCTTTTGACCGTGTAGACCATGCTTTTCTTTTTTCCACCCAGAAGACCTTTGTTGTTGGGCAGGGGTTCCAGACATGGGTGAAGCTGTGGTATAGCGACACTTGCTGTGTTGTGAAGGTGGGAGGAGGGTTGAGTTGCCCTGTGCCAGTTAGGAGAGCGATTATGCAGGGTTGCCCTATCTCAGCCAGCTCTATAGCATTGCTATTGAGCCTTTTCTGTGCAGGTTGAGGAACAAGCTGAGGGGTTTCTCTTTGCCAGATCTGCCTCAGAGCCCTCCTGTTATTGTGTCAGCATACGCTGATGATGTTAATGTTTTTGTTAAGGATCAAGATGATGTTCAGGAATTAAAGGAAATCTTGGTTTTATATGAAAAAGCTTCTTCAGCCAGAGTTAATTGGGAGAAGAGTGAGGTGTGTTTAGTGGGGCAGTGGAGTTTGGCATGTATTTCTAGACTCCCTGGGAATCTTTGATGGGGTTAAAGGGCTATTAAAACTCTTGGGTTTTACTTGGGGAGTGATGACTTTCGCACAGACTCCTGACCCCAGACCTGGGATGTGGCTTTTTGAAGAGCCGCTGTTTTTTAATTACTTTTTTCCAAGTACTGTGTTTTCTACTGCCACTATAAGGAGCAAGTTTGTGGAGACTGATATTATCAAACTGGGCCATCTCACAAGGATGTCAATGGGAACTCTTGGGTGTGTCACAGGGCTCCAGAGTGCTGGGAAGGATTGTGGAGGAAACTTGGCAATCCCTGTCGGCATCACTGGGAGAGTTTACTGGAAACTGTGTCCTAGCTGATCAATGGGCTGATGACAGCGGATATGTTTTTCTCTCCTTGATGGTCAGTCCTGCCTTTAAGGAGCAGCCTGAGGGGAGCCTACTTCTCTCCCTGAGAACATCAGTGCTAGATAGTTTCAGCTCTTGTGGAAAGAAGCAGCTATATTACAGCTGTGTTACCTGCAGGTGGAGGGTCCATATAAGCCTCCTGTTGAAAAACGGATGGCTGACCTCCAGTGGAGGATTATACATGGAGCAATAGCCACGAACAGACACAGAGCCCACCTGGACCCAAGCACTGGGGAGGGTTGTCCTTTTTGTTCAGAGAGGGAGACGCTGGAGCACTTAGTGGTCTGTTGTCCGCGGCTAGTGGGTTTATTTTCTTTGTTGCAGGAGTGGGTGGAATCTTTGGGGGAGACTTTCTCTGTACCTTTGTTTGTCTTTGGCCCTAAGTATTCAGTGTAGAAAGACGGACCTGTTGATTATATTTTTTGTTTGGTACATCCAAAGCTGGCAATATGGAAGACTAGGAAGAACCAGAATGTTAGGTCAGGGTTGGACTGATGCTGTGCATAGTTTAAAGGGATTGTTCAATTTCAATTCAGTTTTATTTATACAGCACCAAATCACAACAAAAGTCGCCTCAAGGCGCTTTATATTGCAAAGTAGATACCCAACAATCCCAACAATCATATGACCCCCTATGAGCAAGCACTTTGGCGACAGTGGGAAGGAAAAACTCCCTTTTAACAGGAAGAAACCTCCGGCAGAACCAGGCTCAGGGAGGGGCGGGGCCATCTGCTGCGACCGGTTGGGGTGAGAGAAGGAAGACAGGATAAAAGACATGCTGTCTGACAGTACAGCATGATTTTAACTCTCTGACTAAAGATCTGGACTCCTTTACAACTATGTGGGGGATTGGACAGGTTTTGTGTTCGGTAGGAGCAGATGGGACATTTGTCCTTAATTTTTAAGTATGTGTGTGTGAGTTTGGTTGGGGTTAGTAAATGGTTAGTGCATATTAATGTTGCTGATGATGTAGTAGCAACTTTGTGTTAGGTTTGACTTTTTCGTGGTTTTTCTTTTTAATGTGGTGTAAATAAAGTTGTGTTAAAAGTCAAAGTCTCTCTCTCTCTCCTTTTCTCTTTCTCTGTCATGTCCATTTCTTTTTTCTATTCCTCCTCCTTTTTCTCCTGTCTTTCACAAGCCTGGGCTTTACCCGCTGCCTGCTACAGCTTAATACTCACTCTGAAAATAAACAAAACATAACTTTATAGTTAACATTGTTTTTCCCTCTGACTCGCTGACAGGCTCAGAATGTTCGATCACTAGAAGTAAACAGAAAATTTTGACATGGATGGCCCTTTTTCCTTGATACTTGCTGATCTAAATTAAAGTGTTTTAATTGCCATATAAATATACTAGTAAACACATTAGTGTGTATGTATATATGTGTTTGTGTATTTCAACAGGTCAGGTGGGGCTGGTGGCTGGACTGTTGTTTGCCTTCTTGGTGGTTTTACCTGCAGTGCTGCTGGTCTTCTACTGCCACAGGATCAAGACTTCTTATTACCATACGTGGCTTTCCCAAAGAAAAAAGAACACATGCAAGAAGTACTGTCTGTCTTTCACTGTTTGTCTGTTTCTTAACACTACATTTTCTTGATACAACAAAAAGAGGAAAGCCTAGAATTTTAAAAAAGTAGCATTTTCATTTTGGGGTCTAGCAAGTAAAACTATATAATATGCACTGGTGTATTATGATGCTCAAAACTGAAAAATAATGTACATTTTAGAATGACAGAAAAATGCCTTTTTTCAGGGAACACAAAATGGGTTACCAATTTAAAGCAGTTCTGCAGCAGTGGAGGTTGATTGAGCGTTAAAAGCTGGTACTACTAATTCCTACAGGTGTTCGCAACTTTTCTGGATTACTTCCAACCCCCTCTGTCTGCATAAAAGTAGTGTTGGAACACACTGTGGTTTCTTTCACCATCAAAAGGTACTCAGAAACAAACTGACAGGAAGAGATCTGCAGACCCAAAACCACAAATGAATCAGAGGACAAGTTTCTGAGAGTTAACAGCTTGCGTAATAGGTTGCTCACTGGAAAACAGCTTCAAGTACACTTTAATAGTGGTCTTCAAGCTGTAGGTTTCACAGGACGAGTTGCGGCAAGAAAGCCATTGCTAAGGCATCAGAATAAGACAAAGAGGCTTGCCTCAGCCATGAAACACTGCAATTAGAGTACTGAAGACCAGAGTATAATGGGCTAATGAATCAAAATTTGTAGTCTTCGATTCATCACACAGGATTTTTGTACACCGTCGAGTAGGGTGATTCCACAGTGTGTGGCATCAACTGTCAAACATGGAGGAGGAAGTGTGATGGTCTGGGCTGTTTTGCTGATCCAGGGTCGATGACTTGTACAGAATGAGAGGCAAAATGGTGCCAGTAAACCATTTTAATATGATTTGTTGATTGGTTC